TGATAAAACAGTCGAAGGATTCGAGCTTGAAGACTGAGTGTGGGTCTCGATATATTCGACGATTCAATAACTAACTGAACCCAAAGTAAGTCAATACGATAGCTGGAGATGATTTGAACATGAGACAATACCTTGAAGGTTTCATGGTAAGATTTGATAAGCCTTTCAAATTGACGATGAACGGCTGGAGCAGAGTCTATGAAAGATACGATACAAAAGGATCGTTACTTACCGTGTGGAATGATTCATGCTTGGAGGGTTGGTCGTGATACCAACTTCAAGACATGGTACTTGAGATTCAACTCGAGTTCGCGTCCGCTTGGGCGTATATTCCCGCATTGCATTCAGGACAGCGATGAGCACAGGTCCGTCCAAAATTCTCCGTGCCCCTATACTGACTTTGTGCAGACTGCTTGAACAAGCGTGGCGCGTATAGCACGATAAAAGTAGGGTGTAGTGCCACCATAATCTGAATGATGGCTATGGCCATCGAGCGGTCAGACGCTCGACGGAACCACATAATTTGAGAGATGCGCGATGATGGCTGAACTGGATCGCCCATCGAGTGGTCAGACGCTCGATGGGCCAGGAAGAGAGGACCATCGACACCAAGCGGTCAGACACTTGGTACCGGTGCGCATGCGCATGCGCAAGAACCTCTTCAGTGGCACGTGCTTTGCGCCAACCTCGGATAGTTGTTCAAATGCCGCCTCAGATCTGAATCTCGATATGGGAATTTGATGGGGGGGCTGTGTTGCGGCATTTTTCGGCACCTAAGCATCGGCACAGCGGCAAAGCGCAAAGTCGAACGAAGTCAAAGAGAACACGAAGATGCGACGGGGCTTCGCAGTGGTAGAGTATTCGAGTTTAAACGGAGTTTACACAAGGGTAATCGTCAAAGCATAGCGACGAATAACCATTCTCGACGTCCATGGTTGAAAGTGCCGTGCTCGGCTTGAAATCATGACGTCACGCAATATTGATGACCTGGCACGCAGTCGCGATCGAGACTCTCTCAGTCTTTCCCACTGCGCATGCCTGCCAGTTGCAGCATTCATAGTTCGCGTTATCTCTGAATACTCCATATTCCATCTATATATCATGAATGCTTTTCACGGTCCCGAAGAGCTCTGAAGTGGCGTTGCCACTCAACTGCCATTCTCACGAAAAACTAGCAGGCCCATGGCTCGTATCTCTATCAACGGCCTTGAGTCAAGACTCCAGACACTCGAGTACATCCGGCTGCATACGTCGAGCCCTCTAGTTGCAATGCAGCTTATCGCTGCTCTGTCTTTCACACTCAGCCACATTTGGGGCTGCAGCAACCCTGCTGCCTAGCGTTGTGGTTCTGCGCCACTTCTTGCGATGCATGCGCAGAGTTTCAGCAGATCATCAAGACTGCTTCAAAGCGTTGTCGCATGCCACACAGGCTCTGGGCAAACACCGGCAGCGCATACGACTCCGACATTATCGTCGGCCCGATCTTAAACTCAGCCCTTCGTCTATGCGGTGGGGCTACTTGGTTGTCATGGACGACCGTTGGTTGTGTCCTCCATTGGTTGTGTCCTCCAACCGTTCTTTGGAACCCGGACCGACGAACTTTATTATTTCAACATGTGTTGGCCCGTCACATATGTTCAGCCGCAGACTTCATCCAAATCGCGCCTTCAACCAATGTTGGCGCTGTGACGAACCGCCTACGACTGTTCTTCCGTGCACCTACAACATTCCGATAGGTCTTTGCACCAATACACATATTTCAAGAAATGTTTTTGTACTTCGCTATCCTCGACATTTTGTCGACGGCGCTAGCATGCTTCAAGATGCTCCGGTGCATGCTATCAATGGGCATCCGCACTGCCCTAGACGAACAGCACATACACACTTCACCATTATCACTGGCTCGGGTTCAGTCTGGAGACCTGTCGCCGCTGTGGTATTTTTGTCGCATCTTCGAGCAGATCTCCAAAGCACCGGAATCAGTTAGCTCGTCTATTATGCACTAGTACTCATGACGCATGGGCATAATTCCGGACTCGACTTCACCATGCACGCTCATGCACCCCTCTGAACCATGTATCCAGTTTCATGCCGGCGCTATAACGACTCTTCGCATCGTGCCTCTGCGGCATTTTCTCACCTACGGGATCTCTGCATACTTCAGGAGGGATGGGCCATCAAATGGATCTATATTCCTTGTTCGTCCAGCTGCGACTCATTCTTTGTCAACACATGAGTCTGTGGGCTCACTTTCGGTCCGATCACCGCAAACGGCGGCCTCTCCGCAATCTTGCTTATGATCTCTGCTGCTGCATCAATTGGCGCCGTCATTGTCGTGAAGATCATCCCACAGTAGTACATCCCACAGTAGTACAAACGCAGGGTGCACTACATCGCGCATGAATGGTGGTGGTTACATATCACATAAGCACATTGTGGTTGTGCGTCCAGTTCCGCAGAAACACGAACATCGGGCCACACACCACCTCGCATACGAGAAGGCAACCGGTACCGCACTGTCACACGAGCATATGGTGCTCCTCGTACATTCAATGCACATCTTCTTCGCGCACATTCACTCAATGTTCGGCGATACCTCAATTAGTTATTGTTGGCAGTTGCTGTTCTCGAATACTTGTGCTTTTCATCCAGGCCATATCCATGTGAACGTCGACTGCGAATCACATATTGTACATTATATTCCAATTGTCTTCCGAGTCTTCCTTGGCATGCAGCTGGGTTGGCGCGAAGGATTTTTGAAGCTTAATCTAAGTTCTTCGCGGAATCCTTGGCACTCAGCTGGGACGACGAGGAGGATTTCGGGTTAAGGGAGAGAGCGGTTCCTTAGCTCAATCTCCGAAAACTGTTCGCTGTTACTTCCGAGCTCATTGACGGCTTGCGTCCTTTTTCCAATTTCTTCAACTCTCCCTCGGCACGCAGCTGGGTTGACGCGGAGGATTTTGAAGCTTGAAGCCATGTTCTTCGCGGTATCCTTGGCACTCAGCTGGGAAAACGAGGAGAATATCGGGTTCAGAGGAGAGCAGATTCCTAGCTCGATCTCCACAACCTTGCATTTGCTGGCACTTACAGACTTTGCGACTGACGGTTCGATCCGTTCCCAGTTTCTTCAACTCTTCCTTGGCACGCAGCTGGGTTGACGCGAAGGATCTGAAGCTTAATCTATGTTCTTCGCGGAGTCCTTGGCACTCAGCTGGGAAGACGAGGAGAATATCGGGTTAAGGGAGAGATCAAATTCCTTAGCTCGATCTCCACAACCTATCGACGACTGTCAAACTTGAAGAAGATATCGGGTGCATGCCACCAGGAAGACTGAGATCAGCGACGAGTCGACGACCCCCATAAAGACGTCGTTCACTGGCGGAATACGGCCTTGAGTGTTGATAATCCATCGTTCAAGACTCGAGAGTCGAGTTACCGCTGTGCCGCTCCACATCAACTTAGGCTGTTGAACCTATGAGCGATGCTCGTCACAGGCTTCCATTCCGAATGGGAGAGCGCGGAACGTTTGAGCACCTGCGGATGGTTTGCCGCCCGTTTTCGAGCAGATGGAGAGTGTAGAGGACTTCGGATTGGAGTTGTGTTTCGATCTCGATCATTTCTTAACTCCATCGAGCCACATTGCCATCAGTCGCCTTCCTTATTCTTCCCGGGGCACCGATACCTTTCGGCATGTGGTTGTGTCCTTCAACCATCCAACAACTCATGGATACTAGTGGATACTGGATGAGCGTCACTATTTGCACACGATTTCGATGTATTCCGCTTCAGGCTAGGACACGCCCTGACACGCCTCAAGGTTCCGATCTGCGACATCGAGTGCAAACCTTCATGCAGTGCATTTGATCATGCACCGACAGAACCTGAACACGACTATTGATAATCCTGCTGCATCGCTCAGCTTCGGCTCTGGCTGTTCATTAGCAACGAACTAATTACAAGTTCTTGTGGTTCCTCTAGTATTTGGGGCGTTCGATTCTGCGACCCACTGGCTACTCGCTGAAAACGGCCCATCCTGTTGTGGCTGAGCACCTCAGTCCGCCGTCTTGCCCATCCACACACCGAGAACTGCCGTTGAACCCCGCAAGTACGGGGACTTGAACATGATGCTGTTTGGAGTGTTCAAATTCTTCTGGGAGACAAACACGCCATTATCTCACTTCCCTGCTACCGTGGTCGTGTCCAAGTATCATGGGAGCCCATATTTCACAATAACAAATGCATCGCAATCATGTTCCCCCTACCACTGTGGTCGTAAACGGGGTCATAGCTCTCGGAAAGGTAACAGCTAATCACATTGGCCGCAGTTTAGATGGCGGTATCTGCGCAGCAAAATCGTCAGACGAGCATTCGCTGTTTACGATATCTCGCAGTTCCCCACTCACACTCTCTACCCCATGGGTCGTAAATGAGAGGCTCCTCTCCACCTCCTGGGTCGTGTAAGCGAGAGTCTGAGCAGTGAGTTAAACTCCCAATGGCCCATCAGCCCGTCTCTCCACCCCATCGGGTCGAAAGTGAGAAGCGGCTGGGTCTGTAAGCCCGCCTTTCCACCCCTCGGGTCGAAAGTGAGAGGTGGCTGGTGCGAGATACACAGCTGTCTTCTACGACTTTATTCTACCACTCTGGATTTGTCTGATATGTTTATCCAGCAGGCAACTATATTTCATTGAATGGTTCACCTCTCCGTCCTTCGGAGGATCGCAATTATTACCGTTTCTTTCTCATCTTTCGTCCTTTGGACTCACCTCCATTTTTCTTTTTTTATAGCCTTTAGCCATCCAGAAACGGCAATCGATACTGGGCCTCTCATCGAGGGGTTGATTTGGCTAAAAATCTGTCCAGAAACACCCCTCAAAATATGAAGAGCGGATGCTCAAGACGATTGGGAATCAATTTATGTATTAGCACTAGATAGATTACAGTTTGGGAGGTTAAAAAAATTACCCGACCGAAAACAAAAAAGCGTAAAGAACGTTCGGACATGACTGCTGCGGGAATCGAACCCACAACCTCCCCATAACTTCCTGGCCATGGAAGGCAAATTTCAAGGATGTCTTACCACTAGACCAAGCAATCATGACAGAAATGCTGAACACCGCGATCATGGGGTCTGCCCAGCTTTAGACACACCCCAAAAAAATAATGCTAGGTCCGCGTCTGCGGACGGATATCTGGCCAAAACGCAGCTGTGGAGACAAGCATCGTCAGTAAATGCACGCTAATGAAGACCAATCCAAGGCTTTCTTTGCACGGGCCTTCGAAACGACACAAAACAAGAAGAATGAAGCGGACGCCTCTATCGGGGAACACCTTGTCGTCTGGCCCCACACCGAGCTCGTCGAGGTACACAGCTAAAACGCACTCGTGTAGCAACGTCCGCGCGCAAGGTTATTCCCAGCCTCATCCAGTTGAGACATTCGACGTGGTGGTAGTTCGAATTCAGAGCAGACCTGAGCACGGGACTTGATGGTGACTGGCTCGGCAACCCCCGAGGGTGGCTGGTGATCATGAGATGAGTTAACTCATTCCGGACAACAGTTTCAACCCTCCAAAGTGCAGCCAGCCTCAAGAACTAAACAACTTACTCCACAGCTCGGGGGTTTGAAAATAAAACGCAGAGAAAGAAAAAAGGAAAATGCTCCTGGGCACGACCACTGCGGGATTCGAACCCACCTTCCCCAGATAACAGGAAAGGAAGACTACCTATAGCTAATACTGCTTGGGTGCCTTACCTCTAGGCAAAGTGGTCTTTGAAAAAATTCTCTCACACGGCCCTATACCCTGCCACCTCTTCAGAACGCCGAAAAAAAAAAAATTCGACAAGACGCGGCTAAATTTATTCCTGGCGTCGCAATCTCTTTGGACGCGTCTCTGGCATCCCAGAGGTTGCCATTAAATTTAATGCGTGGCTCTGGGATCCCAGAGGTACATTAAATATATTTGGACGCGTCTGTGGGATCATGAGCCTCGATCACCAAAGGCTCATGTCAAACAAGGACAACTTCAGATCGCTTTTGAACTCCTTCCTCTTTCTTAATCCTCCCTACCATGGCAGCTGTCCCATCCAGGATGACTGCGAGAGAATCAACCAAGTAGTCCCGCCGCAATGAGCAATATGTAGTAGGGCACCTAAATGTGCAGCGGTCGACGTTACACTGGGCCAGTGGCGATTCACATGTGTCCCGTGTCAAAGTATTTCTGTGTCTGTAAGCCCTGGCTACCGTAAACTATTTCCTCAAATCAATCTGGAAATCTTTATCCCCAGAGTCAGCAGTTTTTGTGTAGATTTGAAGCAAAAATCTCAGTTGTAGGTAGGCAGTCAGTTGTGTGGTTAATCCTCGTAAAATACATCCTCTGAGCCCCGCATCCCCATAAATACCTCAATTTAAGCTCAAACCATCATCTTCTTTCATTCTCATTGACTGTGAAATTTGGCCTCTTCAATCGCTTCCTAGGAAAGGAACTCCGGATCCGAGAGGCAATTCCACCCATGGTCTTGACCCAGGTTTATTGAGGTTTTTTACTGCCTCCTTTGTTTGGATATTTTTTGAATTTTCGATTCTTCACGCTCAGCAGAAGAAATTCTGTCGTACAATTGTAGAGGAAATACTGTCTGGTCTTCTTGTATTCCCGACATCTCATGAGAGCATCTCGGAATTTTATCTGCTGAAATTCCCTCGGGACCCTCACTACTATTTGCTGCGGTAGTCAACCCGGAGACATGGCACTGTGCTACCAACATTCAATTTCTCGCTGCGCGTACAACTCGCAAAGCCATGGCATTGCGTATTTAGTGCAGGAACCAGCCGTTTCAGCTCTGGGGCGTCGTGTCGGCAATCCTTCCTAATTAGAAATATATCCTATGAGACCCTAGGCCTATGGCCATGGCCATTGGCGGTTCAAATATTTCCAGTTCAAATCTCTTGGTGGGCAATTTTAAATCTTTTCTCGAGCGATGACGGGATCATGACCAAACACGAACAACGATCAAAGGTGCATTACACAGCCATCGGTTTTTCGGGATCGGTCAGAGAATTGGGGGAGCTTGCGACCCCAATGATGATCACCTTATTCACTTTTTTCGGGCTTTATTCGGCGCTACATTATATTACAGTCAATATACAAAACTATAATACAGTCAAGATACAGATATACTACATTCAAGGTACTGACTGGTGTGATTACATGCAAGATACAGATGCATTTTATGCTAGTGCCCGGGCGTAGAGAGGGAACCAAAAAAATCAGGGACGGAATGAGGCGACAGCGAGAGCTGCCTGCTGTTCTAAACCTTTCATGTACATGGGAAATTTTCTATCCCGTTTGAGGTTATGCTTCCATCTCGCGTGCGTCGGGAGGGTTGCCGTGCCGGAGGCGATCTGCTGCAGCCGCTTTTGGAACCACTCCTCGCAGAGTGGTGACCACCAGCCAACGTTCATATCAGAAATTTCAAATGCAGCTGGCTTCGGCCACCATGATTGCGTGGCCGTTTGTTCGTCAACATTACTGGACCCGAAGTCGCACTGCCCTGGGGTAAAAGGTGAGAATGCACATAGTTAGTATTGGGAAGATTCACGTACCTGTCGAGATGTGATAGACGCCACAAATAAGGTCCATCTCATCTGGGGTTAATTCATCGTCGCAAAATGATCCCATGTTTTCTCCATCCCTCCAGCATGCGCCGTTGACGAACACGCTGTTTGTGGGCCCCACTAGGACCTCGTCGTTTGGCACCTCGAACCTTGCCAGCCGCCCTACGATGCCACCATACTGCAAGGCGGCGCGACCACGAGGAGTTCGTAGGAAGTTGCTGCGAAGCGCAACGTATCCCTTATAATCTCGGAGGTCGGGCTTGTAGTCCTTGGGTCGATACCCGAGACCAGAGAATACGTTGACTCGTTTGACTCCATTATTCTTCATCGGGAGACATGGAGGTGGCTGTATGCGATTTTCGTGCAAACACAGCCGAAAGGGAATTCCGCGCGACAGAAGACGCCCTGCGACGACACTTACATCCGGTCCCCAACCCTGCCGAACGATTTCAAGAACAGTGATGGGATTGTCAAGCAGGATGCAGAGCGACGGTGGCGACGGGTCGGTGTCCTGTATGACGTAAGTCACTCTCCCGCATACCGTGGTTCTGCGGACATTGATGGGCCAATCCGAATAAATGTCTGAACCTGGATCATGGAAATCGTAGATCTCGCGGGAAACATCGGTGGAGACCTTCCCAGTACGACACTGAGAGAAAAAAAGGCCGAGATTGTGCTTCGCAGACTCGGTGGTGGGCATTATCTTAGCCTGGCCTACCAACTTTTCAATCAAGGCGACGGGGGGGACAGTGCTGGCATCAACAGGGAAACTTGACGCGACTCTCGATGTAGGAATTGAGTACCCATACCGAAAATACGCCATCCTCTCGCAAGAATCTGCAAGCTCGGCATAACCGTGGGGAGGCTCGATCTGGTGAGGGGCATACACCTCATTGGGAACGAGGGAATAAGCTCTGTTGAGAGCTCTTTCGGACGCAGCACTTGCTTGAGCTACAGTGGGCTCTTCCCTCTCAGGAAATAAGTTTTCAGGCACATTGCCGTCATTCTCATTATCGTCTTCATCTTCCCAAGCAGCAGTGGGCTCAGCATCCGGGGCGAACTCCGCGCATAAGTCCCACTCATTGTGAAAAGAGTCAAAACGACGTTGCTCGGAGGCAAACTCGTCCCAATAGTCATCATAATGAGAGCGCCCAGCAGCACGGCGAATTAGATGGCCGTCCACCTCTTCCCATACAAAAACCCGTGCACCCTTTGCCCCAGGAGCTGCCCCTTTTGCGGCGTGCACCTCCCGAGCCTCTCGAATGCGCTTTGCTTGCTCTGACTCGGTGAGCTTCCGCCTCGCGTTGGTTTCCTGCCGTCGTTTCATGAACACATCGAAGGATTCCCCTGTCCGTTGACCACTACCAGCTTCCACGGGGGGAGGAGGGGGCGCTGGGGTAGCAGTGGCAACGGAAGGTGCGGGTGCGGGTGCGGGAACTGGCGTGGGCGTGGGCGTGGGCGTGGGCTCTTCACCGGCATCCTCTACTGCGGGTGCAGGTTTCATGAACACATCGAAGGATTCCCCTGTCCGTTGACCGCTACCAGCTTCCACGGGGGGGGAAGGGGGCGCTGGGGTAGCAGTGGCAACGGAAGGTGCGGGTGCGGGAACTGGCGTGGGCGTGGGCGTGGGCGTGGGCGTGGGCGTGGGCGTGGGCGTGGGCTCTTCACCTGCATCCTCCACTGCAGGTGCAGGTTCTGAAGTGGGCATCGGCGCATTGTACGGGTCCCATTCGCGACAGCTAGTGAATTGGGGCCCTTGGTCCCCGCGGTCCTCGCGTTGCCAACGACTGTAAGCAATTTGACCAGGAAGTTTCATGAGGTACTGAATCTCGTGCCAGTCGGGGGAAAATGGACCCATTTTTGTGAGACAAATAGGCACTGGGATGGTCGGATCAGTTTCAAGTGGGCCCCAATAGATATACAGTGGGATGGGGAGATTACGGCTTATGATACTTCCCATCAGATAATCGAGCTCAGTTATACGACCTCTTTCCCCAGGAAGAGGGACGAGGTTGATGAGCCCTCCGATGCGGGGAAATTCCCAGTCAGTGAGGACTGACTTCTCTAGGGTTGTAAGCCATTGGGGAGGGAAGGTGGCGCGCTTGTTCAGCTCATCCCGCCAGTTGGGTGGGACTTCTATTGACATATACCACAAGAACATCGAGAGATGGCCCATCAACGGTAAGAACCCATTTCTGGAGCGCCACGCGACAACACGAGCCGCCTTCTCCGACTTATATCGATGGGTGTATCCATACCGGTACGGAGCCGCAAACTGGCTCATGGGCACCGGACGGGGAAGGTTTGACAGCTCCATAAGGATCCGGATGGTGACACGAACACAGTTTTCAGTGTCCTCCCATGAACGCTGCACATCCGGGTCGAGTTGCCATTCGTCGGTAGTGACTTGTATAATGGGAAGCGACTTCTTGGTGTAATCCAAGATTCCGAAGATAGGGCCATAGAAGGGGTCGCGTGCTGGTA